ACTCTGTCAAGAATTCGATCCGTATTTCTTAAAAATGACAAACTTAATAACAGGAGATAAAGAGGAGACAGGAGACAGTGCCTCAGAGACTCAAAGAAGAGGAGAAAGGTTGTTGTTCTTTCCATTTTTTTTGTCTACTGATAGACCTGATGAGATGGCTAGTCAAGTGTATCAGTTTGGTTGGTGTCTACAGTGTACTAGAGAACATGATTTCTTTCCTCCTCGATACTTCCATGTTCTCTCATTACATCTTGCTTACAAAATGGCTCTACCTCAAGATGATGACAAGTTAAGTCGTCGCTGTACATTTTGGATGAATGGTCTTTATTGGTTTAATGGTCATGGTGTAGGATCACTGGTGGAGATTGTGGATGAGAGCCAGTGTGTACTAGTAATGATGTCCTGTGAGAAAGGTTACAGTGACAATATGGTGTCTTTAAGAAGAAAAGTGATAGGAGAGGTAATTAGTATTTATAAGGAATCCTGTCCAAGTCTAGAGGTAAAAGAGTTAGTTATTGATCCTAAAGAACTAGCCTATCCTGTGAATACACCAAGAAAAAGGATGATGTATAGTGTAAAAGATATACTGTCTGCTATTGACAAAGGAGAAGAGTTTTTAGTAAAGTCTGATGGTACTAAAGGTGAAAAGGTGAAGGAGATCCTACCTGATGAATCATTATTAGACAATAGTAACCATTCACTATTAGGAGGACGTAATATTAAGGTAAGAATTAGCACACAATTAAAAGGTCATTTTAAATAGTAATTATAACTTATCAGTCTTTATCATAATTGTGGGTTGTCATTGTGTGGCTTTTACTACTAATGTTTAAGCTTATCTATGTAAATCACCTTGATATCTGGTATTTTTGTATAGGAATTAATTGAAGAATCCAATACACCATTAACTACAACAATAGGTATATTAATATTTTAATGTATACTATCACAATTGTTAAGTAGTGGGAGTGTACATGTAAACTGTACATACCATGGTAGTAAGAGATGTCCAGGTGGACTTGCTGGGCTCAGCTTTACTAGTTTTTGCTTTCAGAAAATTTCTTATACAAAAATAGATCTATCTAATAAAGTAGGCAAAAGCAATGTTTTACCTTGAATTTTACATTTATGTCACATGCATTGTTTAATTTGACCATGCTCCTCATTAACTCCTTAAAAATTTGCAGCATGCTTAACATGCCAATTTCAGCCTCCCCAACCAACTCAAGTTTGCTTCCTATGGCCTTGTGTATATAAGCAAGTAGTCTGAAGGGGCAGGCCCAGAAAGCAAGACGTACATGTATGTAGGGATATACTGGTTTAATAATAATGAAGTACAATACTATAGTATGCAAATATTTTGATAATGCAAAATTAATTTGTATGATACAGGTACTAGAAGTACTGAAGCTGATGAGATTGATATAAAAAGTAAGAAATAAGTTTTTGTTAGTTTAATAAGACTGTACTACATGTAAGTAAATTCCCTTACTTAATTTATTAATGAGTTAAATTTAAAAATTGTGTGTTAATTTTTAGAAATAGAAAAATGGCTGGAAGAAGGTGAAGTTGAGCTAAAAGTCACTCGTATCAATATGCATGGTGCACCTGGAGCTGGTAAAACATGTTCACAACACCTCCTACTTAATGAGCCACCACCTGAGAAACTCACTGACAGTACACCAATAGCTTGTCCTGCTGTTCAGGCAACAAGAATATCCATTGACGGTAAAAATAAATGGAAGAGGGTTGATATTGAAGATATACTTAATCAACTAGCATCTCATTTAGAAGAGACACAGAATAAAATGAAAATATCTACAGAAGCACCAATGCTTAAGGGTGATGTGTCTGGCTTGGATAAACCGCTGGAAGAACCAACTGAGAATAATCCAACCAAAAATGAACCATTCCAGGATGAGCTAACTGAGAATAAGCCAACTGAGAATAAGCCAACTGAGAATGAACGATTTAAAAATGAACTACCTGAAAATAAGCCAACTGAGAATGAACCAACTAAAAATGGATCATTGAAGAAGAAACTGGCCGAAGTAGTTTATAAAATTGAAAATGCTCGTGTGACTGGAAACTTCAAAACATTCACTACAAATTGGGTTTATTTTATTGATTCCGGTGGTCAACCAGCATATCGAGAGTTACTACCTCTTTTTACAAGAGCAGCTGCACTGAATATTATCACCATTGATCTTACCAAAGGTCTTGATGAGAAGTGCAAGTTTCAATATCGTATTAGTCAAAATTTGTCTCCTATTAAAACAGACCTGAAATATTCTAATTGTGATATAATACGCTCAACAATTAGCTCCGAAGCTATGTTGAATCACATTAAAATTCCTTATGTATCTGACATGCCTGAACCCTCTCATTATTTTGTACTTGGTACACGTAAAGAGTTGATAACTGAGGAAAAGCTACAAGAAATGAATGAATGTCTGATAAATAGCTCTAATGTAGACCTTAAAAATGTAATTCAAAAGAAAAAAGACTTGATTATATTTCCAGTTAATACGTTGCTCCCTGCTGGATCTAAAGAAAGAGAAGAAGCTAGTGTAAAGCTTTGTTCTGCAGTTTCAAATTGTGCAGTTGAAATGACAATTGTGCTACCAATTCGATTGTTCACTTTTGAGATTGCATTACAGATGGAAGCTAAGGAGAAGGAACGAAGTTTTTTTACAAGAGAAGAAGTAATTGAGATCGGTAAGTCTTGCCGACTTGATAAACAAATAGATATTGATAACGCTCTGCAATATTTACACAATGTTACTATTATTCTTTATTTTCATGAAATCCTACCAAACATAATATTTGTTGATCCTAAACCAATTCTTGACGTCCTTTCTCATCTAATAGCGATCACATACGTTGACCATACTGATCTACATTTGGTTGCAGACCCACCTCCTTCATCTGATAAAAAAAATAATCTCAGAAACTTTGGCTTTTTTAACGAAGATATTTTAAAAATTATTGGTAAGAAAATTTTTATACATGATAATTTTAAAACATCTCACATGATCAAGCTTCTGAAACACCTCCACATCATTGCTAAAGTTGAAAACAGAAAAGAAGGAGACTATTTTTTTCCATGTGCATTACCATCTTGTGATAAGCTCATTCCTGCCCCAACAGAAATACAACCACTTCTCATAGCATGGGAGATTAACAATAGTGGAACAACAACTCTAGCCATCCCTCAAGGATTATTTCCTTTAACCATTGTACACCTTTTAGAGAGAGAAGATGTTGATTTCAGTCCAATAGGCAAAGACTATTATAGATATCATGATGCTATGTCACTTCGTGTTTACAAAGACTACACTATAGATATCATCAATCGCTGTACACATATCGAAATACATTTTGATGGTTGCAAGGAATTTTGTCCTCAAATTTGTGAATTAGTCACAGACACTATCAAAAAAAGCAGCAAAGGTCTTAACATAAATGATGATCATATTTTTGCATTCAAATGCTCAGTAGACGAACAATGTTACTGCATTGTCCAAGAAGATAAATCTTCTACCAGATGTACTCAATGTCGATCACACTGTAAAGTACTACAAGGTGATGATGATAGCTATAGATGTTGGTTTAGTAATCTTCAATTACCTAGTCCAGGTCAGTAATATTTTAAGATATTGCATGTAATACTTTCTTTATTTGGAATTTATTGTTTTATTGTAGGAGCTGAAGCATCATTAGAAAGTCCACCTACTACAAGACCCACAGTACAACCCACTGGATTATTAGGTGAGTAAATTAAAATTAAATGACATACTTAAATTTACATGTTTTTCATTAGATACTAGTAATCTTATTGATGTACTTGATGTACTGGGTGATCATGGATATTCTGGTGTCAGTTATTATAAACTTGGTCTTCGTCTTGGACTACTCCCTGGCACACTTGATGTTATTAAGGAAAATAACAAAGGAGATGTAGATGGTTGTCTAACAAATTGTTTGACAGCATGGTTGGAACAAAGAGATAATGTTATGAAGAGAGGCAGTCCAACTTATGATACATTAATAAAAGCATTGAGAAAGATGGGAGAGAATGCTGTAGCTGATGGGATTGATAGAGATCATAAAATTAAACTTACTAATGATGATATTACATTTTATAATAGAAATGAAAAATGAGATGGTTTCACTAGACGTAACTCTATAGGGTTCATATGCACAGCACACATTATTTAGTTCATTTTAATTTTTATTAATGTGAAAGCACGTGGATTGATTATACGGAGTATAAACGGAAAATAATCAAAATATACAGAAGTGGGAAGAGGCTCTCTTCTAAGACAAAGAATGAGTTCCATATATATAACAGAGCCCCCTACTAAAGGAAAGGTAGTTAATCCAGCAGCAGCTGTATTAGTGACTACTGGCCCCTCCCCTCAGATACTATTAAAGACCACACTGGGTGCACACAAAAAAATGATGTGTTATTTTAGCACATAAAGATATGTCATATCGATGTCCCAGATTTTAGCACATTACACATGTGTTACTTTAACACACTATTAGAGCTGTGCTATTATTACACGTCAAGTGTGTTGAAACAGCACATTGA